ACTCCTTGCGCTGATCTGGCTTTTTGAAGTTCTTGAACTTCCTCTGCTTGTGCTTCCAGAGTCTGTTGATTCTCCTGGACAGCAAGGAAAATTCATCTTCTTCTTCAGAAGAAGATTCTTCAGAGCTTTCTTCTAACACCTGCAAAGCTTTCACAGATTTGTTAGATTTTAAGGCAATAGACTTACCTTTCTTTTGAGGCTCATCTTCCTCAAGTTCAATTTCATGGCTCCTCAGTGAGCTGATTAGTTCCTCCAAAGTGATCTTGTTCAGATCCTTAGCAAGCTTCAGAGCAGTGACCATTGGTCTCCATCTGATGGGCAAGCTTCTGATGATCTTCTTCACATAATCAGCAGTTGAGTAGCCTTTGTCCAGCACTTTTAGACCATCTATGAGGATGTGGAATCTAGAGAACATAGTTTCTATAGACTCAGATTCTTCCATCTTGAATGCTTCATACTTCTGTATTAACGCCAGAGCCTTGGTCTCTTTAACTTGAAGGTTTCCTTCGTGAGTCATCTTCAAAGACTCAAACATGTCAAATGCAGTTTGACTATTTGTGATCTTCTCATACTCAGTATGAGATATTGCATTTAACAAGATTGTTCTAGCCTTGTGGTGATTTCTAAACTCCTTCTTTTGGGCTTCAGTCATAGATTTTCTGTCTACTTTCTTGCCATTCCCATCAGTGGGATGAACATACCCATCTATGACCAAGTCCCACAAATCAGCATCATAACCAAGGAAGAAACTTTCTATTCTGTCCTTCCAATAATCAAATTTCTCCCCATCAAACATAGGGGGTTTTGTGTTGATTCTATCCCTTTCTTCATATCTGTTGTTACTGTTAGATGTTGAAGTTTCAGCCATAATAACAACCCAATATATATCAAAGTTTTCTCACTTGACCTTTTCTGTTACTGTGAAGTGGTAGCACACACAGAACCGGAGCTCTGATGCCAACTGAAGGTGAGAAAATACTTAGAAGGGGGGGTTGAATAAGTATATAGAAAAACTTATGGCAATAAAAACTCAAAGATTTTTATCCTGGTTCGTTGAACTCAACTACTCCAGTTCACCCTATCAAGAGTGATTTGCCTTTCTCAACAAGGACTTAATCCACTATTTAATCAACTGATTACAATAGCAAGCACTAAGAACAACTGTTCTTAGTCTTCTCAAGAACTACTGGTCCTAACTGGATCTTCTTAAGGTTCTTTTACAATTAAATGTAAGAATAATACAAGTGTTTAAATTGCTTCTAAATAAGCTATATCACAACTGTGATTTTACACTTAAGATTTAAGAACTTAGAAATAAATTCAGCAAAGAGTATAAAATTGTATGAGAGCTTTCTTTGAATTCTTTCAATATTTCGTCAACTAAAGAAGAAAGATGAAGTCTTGCTTTTATAGGCACAGAGGTCCAAGTAACTTTCACGTTGAAGGCTGTGTACTAAAAAGGTCTGAGTCTTTTTGTCTTCACATCACATGACCTTTCCTATAAATAGAATGCACAGAAAAATCCTTTTGGTCTGTGTTCTTGTGTCTAGCATAAATGAGGAAAGAGTCGTTTGGCTAAACCAACAGACATAACTTTGAATTCTTCTTCAACAAGTTTCAGCAAATATCATCAGAGTCTTGAATGGTCAGAGTCTTCTGATGTTCATCAGAGTTTGCTGAATCAGAGTCTTTGCAGCAAGTGTACTTTCAGCATGTAATTATTCAGAGCAGAATTTGGGATCAGATCCTCAGTACTGGCAGCGTAGTACTATCAGAGTCTTCTGAAATAAACTAAGCTTGAAACTCTTCATACAAAAGTCTTCAATGCTTCAGATGCTTCTGGCTTCTGCTTCAGATTCTTCTATAGCTTCTGCTTCAGATCCTTCTGTAGACAGCGCTCAGAATCTTCTGGCGGCAGCGTTCAAAATCTTCTAAAAGATGCTTCTGACGCTTCAGAGCCTTGCATATTTTCATGTTCAGATCTAATTTGCTTCCAGAATAATATTCACTTTAATATCTGCAGCAAAAATTACTTGAACAAATTTTAGAGTATATAATTCTTTAATACAAAATTTCATAAGAGTTATCATCAAAACATAGAGATATAATTAAGAACTAATCTGTGTTCTAACAAACTGGATATGTGTTAAGCCTATGGAATCCGATAACGAAATATGAGAATCACTATGTTAATCACACTATCAATTTGATTCAGCTCACTATATGGTGTGACTAGTTCCAATGCCTTAAAAATATTAGCACAATGAAAGAACAACACACAAGGCGTTTGGTTCAGACAATTTATCAAACACTTGGCGTGCAGAGCACTACAAGTGAGTTCCGCTTTGAGTGAGTTGCTCAAGTTTCCTTGTACAATCAATGATTGTACTAGATTCAAAATCAGTTTAGCACTACTCAAACTAGACCTAGATTGATATAATTGTGTGCACTAAAACCACAAATATTAAGCAATATAAAACGTAAGGCAAAAGACACAACTATTTGTTGAGGCAGTTCCCCCGTCGTCCTCGCTCGAGGTACGTCTGCCCTCAATTCCAATAATAGAATTGAGACCTGTTAATATATAGATTAAATCTATTGTTGAAAGTTTATACAAGAAGTGAATAGCAATCAAACACACAAACACTTTTGTTGTTGTAGATATTATCTCTTCTTGCCCCTTGATTCGAGTCGAATCAAGTACTTCGACAACTTGTGAATAAACCTCCTATTGTGACACTATCTTTGAACAACCTTCCGTTTTCAAAATCTGGCCCGGCTGATTTCAATCACCCGTATGTGGAACCAGAAACTCTCCTTCACAATCCTCCGTTTACCGTTACTAAATCGACGGAACCCACCGCTCCTCGATTACCTTCACTCGGCTGAATATGTGTTGAGACGAATCGTGCGAAACCCCCCAAATTCAGAGAGTCTTGGAGGACAAAACCCTAGAGGTTTTATTCAAGAAAAACCTGTCGATTCCTCAACCTGAACCGGATTACCAAATCTTCGGCTTCGAATGTTATCACCTCTAACAATGCATAATGCACAACAAAGATTATTATGTGTGATTGTTGTGGTATGCTATGAAGAGAATGAAGATGATGAGAACCGAATCGACACCTATTTCACTTTTCTTGTTTTTCTCAATGTTGTGAAGAGAAACAAGCAACTAAACTTATATACCAAACATAATTGTCATAACCACTAAAACCACTTTACAAAAATAGTAGACATAACAGAAAAATGACATAAAATAGCGAGCGGTCGACCTATGCAGAGTGCAGGGTCGACCTGAGCTGACCCAGATGAAAAACTTGTGCAATTCACACAACCATGCGTCGACCGGAACAAGGTATGCATCGACGCATAACTTAAAATTTTAGACAAATCAAAATGCCAACAGTATGAGTCGACCGGTGGATCGACGCGAGCACTCCCGAAGAAAATTTATAAAATAGACTCATAGTGTGAGTCGACCGGAATAGAACTTTGGTCGACTCATAGACCTGAAATTGCTAAAAATGTCTAATTTCATACTCTTGACTCTTTTTGATGACATCTATGATATGACAAACGACACCAATGAAGTCTAACTCATATGACACATATTTTGACAAATCTATATGCAATAACCGAGATATTTTATGCAAGCAATTTAATTATGAGAAACGTGGTATGCAAATGCAACATGGTGATAACGCCCAACATCGATTCTTCTATGAAGCTAAGTTTTGACATCATCGAAACGAGCATATCTTATATATGAGGCTTTGCCCTCACAAAGACTATGTTGTCTTAATAGTTGTTTGAAATAAAGTGTGATTATAGTCTTAGACAAAGAAATTTAAAACTAGGTTGTCTTAGTGGTTGTTTGTAATCAAGTGTGATCATAGTGAAAATATCTCAAGTGTTAGGTGTCTTAATTAGCCAACCACTATAAATTCTATATACTTTGTGTTTAAAAATATCTTTGTTTTTAAACTAACACAATTCAAATTCTTATTTCTTGCGATTTGCTCACATTAACATCCAATTCAATATGAGACCCATGTTAAATCGAGTTGCATGAAGGGGAACATTTAAACTATTTATTTTTTGTGTTTTATGGTTGAGCAAATAAGAAGATAACTTTATAGAGAAAGTTTTTAAATCCTTTAGACTCTACAGGACATCACATGGAAAAAAGTCTTGACTTTTCTAAAGCGCCCGATAGTCATAACTATTTGATCACTTTACAGAATCATATTTATTTTAAATACTCTTATTTTAATTATAAATTTTCACATTCATATTTTTTACAAATTTAGATGTCAGAGTGTTATAAATTCTTCCGCCAAATCAACACAAGAATACTGAATTTGTCCTCAAATCTACTATCTTAAAATAAAAATATGTCATTAGATAAAATATAAAATTTTAATTCATTTAATAAGAAAATATAACTTAAAAGAAGTTGAATATTACATCATTGGTAGACATCTAAATAGATTTCATGATAATAATCGTTTAATATACAATATAAATATAAAATATTTTTTGAATGACATCCAATAAAATTCACAAATTTTCCATTTCTAACTACCTTCCAAAAGTGGGATTGTGTGATAGTATATTAGTTTAGTTGTATTTTGTTTTTCTCAAAATATGTATGCACTTTGCTTTTTTAAGAAAACCACATAAAAAAAAAGTTGATAGAGTGCATAACACTGCTAAGAAGCGCGTGTAGAGTTTAGTTGTAGACAAGTATGGATAAATTGTAATAATGGTACTAATTGAATAAGATAATGTATATTGATTAATATTAAATTATTATTATATGAAATGTAGTATATTACTACCGTTGTTCCTGAATTGTAGTGATAACAAGTCACTGTGAAGGGTGCGTTTACGACACTTCTTCTCTTCCTTCAAATTTGAATCTCTTAAAATCCAAAACAAAAGCATTGAAACTGTATACACGAATGTGATTACTTTCTGTGATCAAAATCATCAAAATGAATAGCAGAAAAGGGCACACGGTTATGAACGTTGGAGCTGATGGAGTTGCCATCATCACCATCATCAATCCTCCTGTCAATTCCCTCTCCTTTGATGGTATCATCTAGTTTTAATTCCTCGTTTCCATTCTTCGATTTTCTTCGCGTAACACCGATTAATCATTATGAAAATTGAGACTGTATTTACAGTTGTTTGAATGTTTCACCATCATTTGTTAACTTGATTTGAATTATGCAGTGATGTAAAACCTAGAAGAAAGAATGGATATAACAGAAATATAATTGAAATTTGAAACACTGCTTTTATCATTTAAGATTATGCTATGTTGCTCATTGTTTCCTCGCTCGCCAGTATTGCGAAGCTTAAAGGAGAGTTTTGATCAGGCTGTGCAGAGAGATGATGTCAAGGCAATTGTTGTCACAGGTATTGCAACATGATTTTGAATTCAATACTAGCTGTTAATAGCTATGGTTTCAAACTGTAAAGAACTAAGATGGTCTATTAAGGAAAAGAAAAAATAATGTTAGGTTTGTGCTACCCAGAGATAACACTAGTAAACTGGTTTATAGCTGTAGCATTATGGCTGAATCTCGTGTTTCTTTATTAGGTGCAAAGGGTAAATTTTCTGGAGGTTTCGATATTTCTGCATTTGGTGGTGTTCAAGAGGCAAAAGGTACTTCGAATTATTTTGGGAGTGGAGTGGTGTCTCTCAATTGTTGTTATGTTTATACTAACCCTTTCCCTATGTTTGTATAGAGCGTCCAAAACCTGGGTGGATATCGATAGAAATCATCACTGATACAATAGAAGGTAAGTTGGTTTTCATAAATTTCTTTATTTACAATTCCTTTCTCTCGTATTTTGCTGTGCTGAATCGTTGAATCAATTCATTTCATATTTCAGCGGCAAAGAAACCATCGGTTGCTGCTATTGATGGCCTTGCTTTGGGCGGGGGATTAGAAGTTGCAATGGTAAGATTTACTGCCTGTTAAGAAACAAGAACCGTTTTTTCTACAAAATATTACGGTTCTTTCTCATATAGGCCGCGTTTGTTTCTTATATAGGCATGCAACGCGCGATTATCAACTGCAACTGCTCAACTGGGTTTACCTGAACTTCAGCTTGGGATAATTCCTGGATTTGGAGGTAGTAGATTGAACTCAACTAATTCCTCTCTATCTTCAAGTTGACTTATTTTTTGTGTGTGACTTGAAATTGAGTGCATTGAGAAGATACTGAAGAAACAATTGAAATGAGATCTTATCACTTACTCATCATTTGTGCTGTTAGAGATATTTTCTGGAGAAGTGCACCATAAATCATTAGAGATATTTCCCTTTGTCTATATGCATATGGTTTTTTCTTTGGTTTATTCCCTGTTTAAATTTTGTAGACATACTTTTAATGAGTTTATTAATTAAGTAAAAGTTCGTAATTGAGGTGACGACTTGATACCTTGATTCTTATGTTAGATAGACATCAAATAATTTGAAAAAAGCAATAAAAACAGAAAGTAGTTCGACCATGAGTACCAGAGAATGTGCTGTGTAATTGTTTTTATTCTTTTTTTTTTCTTTAGTAATGTTAACCTTGAGCTGTAAATTGTCTTAGGAACACAGCGACTTCCTCGCCTGGTTGGTCTAACAAAGGCACTTGAGATGATGTTGGTATGCCAAAAATTTTGCTCTCTATATATAATTTTGTGATTCTGTTGAATATGAAGAACTGAACTTAAAACCCGATCTATCCAATTTAATGTGTTGTTGATAGATCAAACAACACAACGACTCTTATACGTTCAAATTTCATCATACTAGACAGGTTTTTGGTTCAATTCTCCATTTGGAATGGAATTGCATTTTTCATAATATTTAGGAGTTGTGACATCAACATGGCTATCCAATGATTTTCAAATTAATTTATTTCGTTCTTTTATTCTCTAAATTAAGACTTCCAAATCAGTGAAAGGGAAGGAAGCTTTTAACTTGGGGCTTGTAGATGGTTTGGTGTCACCTGATGAGTTGGTGAACACTGCACGCCAGTGGGCCCTGGATATCTTGAACAGAAAACGGCCATGGATTGCCAGTCTTTACAAGACTGCAAAATTAGAACCTCTTGGGGAAGCTAAAGAGATATTGAAATTCGCACGTGCTCAAGCTCAAAAACAGGCTCCTAACCTCAAACATCCTCTAGTTTGCATTGATGTTATTGAAGCGGGAATAGTTTCTGGTCCCCGTGCAGGACTCTGGAAGGTTATATCTATCTCCAGTATACATTTTCTCCCCTACATGTTACTGCTGCAGAAACGTGTATGACATTGTGTTTGATCTTTGAAGGAAGTTGAAGCATTTGATGTACTGGTACAATCAGATACTTGCAAAAGCTTAGTTCACGTATTTTTTGCTCAAAGAGGAACAACTAAGGTTTGTTGAAGTTTGTATTCTAGCTTAAAACACAGTTTAAACTAATGCGTAGGACTTTTGGAAAGAAACAATCTTCTACTTTTTTTCTCTTTTTTTACGTATTTGTTTTAAAGAAGACTGGGGAACGAATCTCTGCTTAAACGTTGGATTAGCCTGACCACAAAATGGTGGGTTTCGAAGCCCTGCCCTGCAAGTAAAGTGGTGCTCAATTTGTCAATTAAGCCACAAGGAGTTTTTTTTACATGTAGGGAGCGCATACTTGGGACCGAGTCTGACCTTTTAACTCCACTACATCCTTAACTTAGGGATATATGCCCATGTGATGGATATATAGAAGAATTATGGCCAAGAACTGAACTTGGCCTTTATTTCCCATGAATCACCTTTTATTTTAGATTGTACAGTAATTGATATAAAGGACTGAAATGTTGTTTCATGTTATAAAAGTGAGACCGTTTGAATATTATATTTGGGAGAGTAATTATAGTTCAACAAGATTGTTCATACAGTTTATTTTGAAACTGTATTAGTTTATAATTAATTATTGCAATCTTTAGGCTTGATGTGAATAGAATGATATCTCCTTTCGAGATGGTCACGTTTTCCCCATTTCTATAAGTCTGCTGACAATTTCAAATCTTGAATTTTTGAATCCTAATCCATCTTGAATCTGTGCCTATGCATATCTTAAATTTGTAAGTAGTGTTTTTAAATAAGGTTGTTAATGTGCACTAGCCTGATTCTGTGTACTGAGTTTTGCAAATATTCTAAAAATGAGTTTTCTAATACCTCTTGGCATGAGCAGGTACCCGGGGTTACTGATCGTGGTCTCGTTCCAAGACAAGTGAAGAAGGTTGCTATCCTTGGTGGAGGGCTAATGGGCTCTGGAATTGCAACAGCTTTAGTGCAAAGTAATTATTCTGTCATATTGAAAGAAGTAAACCAGAAATTTTTGGATGCTGGTATCAATAGGATTAAAGGTGAGAACGGTTTCTCTCAGTTGGCTTTCCCTAACACTTCACCTTTGAATAAAAAACTAAATGATGCTATTCTGACGCAAGTGTTTTTCCTTTTTGTGCAGCAAACTTACAGAGCCGTGTTAAGAAAGGTACATTGACTAAAGAAAGATTTGAAAAGTCCTTCTCTCTTGTCAAAGGTTCTCTTGACTATGAAAGTTTTAGAGACGTGGACATGGTGATAGAGGTGCTAGAATGAACTCCCGTATAAATTTTCTTGTAGTCTAACATTCATTTACGTCATCATATTGTATGTTATCCAAAGCTTCAGCAAAACATAAACTGTTGATGTTTCATGTTTGGGCAGGCTGTTATTGAGAATGTTTCCTTGAAGCAACAGATCTTTGCTGATCTTGAAAAGTATTGTCCACCTCATTGTATACTTGGTAGCAACACTTCCACAATTGATTTGAACCTGATCGGAGAAAAGACCAAGTCTCAAGACCGAATTATTGGAGCCCATTTCTTCAGGTGGTATTCGGTATCCTGTATTTGGTAACTATTAGTCCGCTTGCTGTATCTTTCTAACTGAATTTGACTCGGCTTCTGCAGTCCTGCACATGTTATGCCACTTCTGGAAATTGTACGTACCAAGCAGACATCTCCTCAAGTAATAGTTGACTTGTTAGATATTTCAAAGAAGATAAAGAAAACTCCAGTGGTGGTTGGAAACTGTACAGGATTTGCTGTTAATAGAATGTTCTTCCCATATACACAAGCAGCTCTCTTGCTTATTGAACGTGGCACAGATGTTTATCAAATTGATAAAGCAATCACCAAATTTGGAATGCCAATGGGGCCTTTAAGGTATTAATGCCTGGATAGGTTCTTGACATCCAAAGCTATTTCTTCAAGGGTCTAGTTTGTAACATAATTAATAACGCAGATTGGCTGATCTTGTTGGTTTTGGCGTGGCGGTTGCAACTGGCTCCCAATTTGTTCAGAATTTTCCTGAGCGAACTTACAAATCAATGCTTATTCCCCTTTTGCAAGAGGATAAGAGGGCTGGTAATGACGATAAACTCTGCATTAGTTTGAGGATATAACTGTGGAATATAACCAATTAAGAATAAACTCCATGGTGTTTTTATCTAAATAATCTACTGACTCGCATTATACAACACTTGCTTATAACAGGCGAAGCAACTCGCAAAGGCTTTTATGTATATGATGATAGACGGAAGGCCAGTCCTGATCCCGAACTGAAGAAATTTATTGAGAAAGCTAGGAGCATTTCCGGTGTCTCCGTTGATCCAAAGGTATTTTCATTCTTCCTTTTATAATTCATGTCATTTTATTGGCTGGTGAGGAAACAAAATGCAAAGTAAAGGAAAATTCCACCGGATCTGATGCTGTGGATCTGAACCTGGGCAGCTTGTCAAGTTACAAGAGAAGGACATCATTGAGATGATCTTCTTTCCAGTGGTGAATGAGGCTTGTCGTGTCCTTGATGAAGGTATTGCGGTCAAAGCAGCAGATCTTGATATTTCTGCTCTCATGGGCATGGGTTTTCCAGCTTACAGGTTTGTCTTGGTAACTATTTAGCATGTTTTCCTAAACTTCATAATTGCTCTTAATATTTTTTGGATTGATTTCTTCAGGGGAGGTATCATATTCTGGGCCGACTCTCTTGGATCTAAGTATATCTGTTCAAGATTGGAGAAATGGTCAGAGTTGTATGGACCATTCTTCAAGCCCTGTGCCTACTTGGCTGCAAGAGCTGCCAAAGGGATTCCTCTGGTTAGTAACCTATGCTTGTTTTTTTCCGTATACATGTCGTGCTATTCTTCAATTGATTAGCCAATTATATTTCAATTGTTCGTTGACGGGGTGGGAGTGTGTGACTACTTATGCATTGTAATTTTCAATTGTGATCTTGCTGCAGTATTAGTCTAGTTTTTTTCTCAAGAAAACACATATACTTCTTCATTAAAGTAATTTTTCGATCATAAGACACTTCACTAACAAATCACACTAGAACCAATGAATCTGTCTGATATAACATACACCCGTGTTTGATACCATTATTCTTCCTTTAATTCAATAGTATTGTCACCTTTTCTTTTAGTACAATTCTAAAATTCATTGTGGCCTCATGAGAAGAGGTACTCTTTCAATATGGATAGTTATATACTAGTAAATGTTCTATTAGCCTCTAATGGAATTTGTGCTGTTTATTACAGGGTGCACCGATGGAGCAAGCTAAGTCACGGATGTAGAATACTGATAGCCTGTTACATGATAATTCTATCAAATTTTATCTTCCCCTAAATCATAATAATTGACTACAGCAGAAATGTTTGGTCAAAATAGAAGTACCTTAGGATCAGGAATATGAATTTTTCCACTTACTGTTATTTGCTGTGTTTGTTGTTACTAGCACCAATAATGGAAGTATTGAGTTGTTGGCTTAAATGGATGGTTATTGCGGTATGTGATGTTAACTGGTGCAATATTGCTTCTGCCACTAATAATGGCAACATTGATAATCCTAAATAATGCAACAACTAGCAAGATGAGTTAAAGTAAATGAGTAAATAGTTATGCAGGTTGTATCTATATGAGCAACAACCCTTTGTAATTTCTTCTCAAAACATGTGACTACTCAGTAACTCAGCCTGACATCCTGATTTTTAATACAGAGGAGATTCATTTTTTTTGCCTAACCCATTAAACCTTTGAATTAAATGACTCTTTTTAAGAGCCTTTTTTATGCAAATAGTAATGCTAGCCGTGCCTTACAAGGTACTCCAACAATCTGTTGGAGAATATGGACCATCATAGCCTGACCAGCTACAATCTGCTGAAATTGTTGTCAGGATTGGGCTGGCATTTGGATTGGCTACATTGATTTGAGCCCCATGTCTTTTATAACTTTGCCTCTATCCCTTTCTAAGCAATCATTCTTTCTCACTTAAATCAATTTATTTCACAATAGACAATCCTTTCTTCATGTTTGTTGGCTCATTAAAAGTTATGCTTCTTTTGGACGACAAAAGAAAGTGAAACAAAGAAGTTCCTCCCTTCGTTTTAAAATTAGTTTTGTTTAAGAGGTTGGCACACATATTAAAATATACAATAATATTGTTATAAGACATTACATTTTTATACAGCAGAATCTGTTATAGGCACCAGAAGGGTGAATTAAAAAGACTTAAGGATTTAATGCAGCAGAGTCGTCGTAGCCTAGACATGGATTCTATGTCAGAATTTCTTGAAGCTCAAAAGGAGTTTAATAAGTTACTTACGGAGGAGGATATGTATTGGAAACAACGGGCAAAGATGCACTGACTTTGTGACGGAGATCTTAATACGCAGTTTTTCCATCGTTCCGCTACGGCTTGCAAGAAATTCCAAAAGATCAGTAATCTATAGCGTGAAAATGGGTCAGTGGAGCAAGTACATAATGGGTTGTGCGATATTGCAAAAGATTATTTTGAACAATTGTTTAATACAAAATCTAGTGAGTTTGATAATGTTTTGTCAAATATCCAACCTGTATGAGGACAATAGTAGATTATTAGCTCCTTTGGGCATGGAGGAACTGTACAAAGCATTATGTGATATGCACCCTAATAAATCGTCGGGTCCGAATGGGTTCAATCCTACTTTCTATCAGAATTTCTGGGACTTGTGTGGCTTAGACATTTTTAAGATAGCCAAACATTGGCTGGAGAGAGGTTTTTTCCTATCGTCGCTTAATCATACAAATTTCTGTTTGATTCCTAAAATTGTCAACCATAATAAGATGAAAATTTTCGGCCTATTTCTCTTTGTAATGTGATCTACAAAATCTTGTCCAAAGCTCTTGCTAATAGGTTAAAGGTTATGCTTGATAAATTTGTAGCGGAGGAACAATCGGCTTTTGTGGAAGGGCGTTCTATTCTGGATAATGCTATGATACCTATAGAGGTCATCCATGCCCTTAAAAGAAAAAACAAAGGAAATAAGGCTCTATTGGCTCTTAAGGTGGACATTAGCAAATCATATGATAGGATGTATTGGAGTTTTCTTCGGGGAATGTTACACATAATAGGGTATGCTGATAGGTGGATTCATTGGATGATGATGTGTGTTACTTTGGTGCACTGTATTGTTCTTGTTAATTCGGAAAGAGTTGGACCAATTGTACCAGGGAGAGGATTGAGGCAAGGAGCCCACTATTTCCTTACCTTTTCTTTTTAATGTGAGAAGGTCTGTCGGCTCTTATTAAGGAAGCAGTAGCTAGAGGTGATTGTTGATACGGTAAAGCGGCAAGCAAAAATATTTATTTTCGGAAGAATTCCCTTTGAGATTTATGTCGTCTCCACAAGGATCGTTTTGAGGGAAAGAATGTCGTTTGACAATCTCTACGCATCTAAGTATGGGTTTGAAATAGTTCTACAAGGGTAACATGCGGAAATTAAAAGCATAAAAGCAAATAAATAAACACATTCTTTAAAAAGGAGAAACTCATTAGAAGTTGCATTTACTTATACCCATCATATAAGACACAAAATCTATCGATCAAATGCACTCACCCTAATACTCGTCAAAACCCCCACGTATCGCTCACAAACGGAGGTTATGTCTAACGCAAAGTCCGAGAAATCAATCGTGTTCTTTCGAAGGTGATATCTCACACGAAAAAATAACACATAGCATTAAGATCCGACACACACGCGTGAATATTTAGACAATTTCCCATAGCCAATAAATCATCATCTTAGGTTGAGTTTGAAAAGTATATGTCTATAGCGATCCAAACCCATAAGATAGATAGTAGAGCAAAGATGACTCGATTAAGAGTTGTAAAAAAGATTTTATACAAAGATCCATAGATGAACATACAATCAAAGTAAACATACATACATGTTAGATGCCCAATTTTGCTTATTTGAGCTATCAAATGTGGACATCTTTCACTCCTTTTTGTCAAGAAAGTATTCAAAATAACTCTCGCTTTGGTTGGTTTGCAACTTTGTGTGAAAGTATCTTGGTGCCTTTAATTTGTGTGTTATTGTGCAGGAATTAGGCATGAAAGAGTGGAAATTTAGACACATGAATGATGGCAAAGTGACCAAGACAACAAGAAAACAACAGCAAGTTCGGTAGGCGAACTTGCCAGCGAAGCTCCCTCCAAAACTTCAAAAAGTTCGCTGGGCGAACTATGTAGCGAAATCCAGGAACTTAAAACAGCAAGGAAAGGGCCATAAACTCGCTAGGCGAAGGAGGCAGCGAAGCACTCGCTAGGCGAAGAGATAGCGAGTAGCCAGCGAACACTCCCAGACTTAAAACATCAAGGAAATGGCCATAAATTCGCTAGGCGAAGTTCACAGCGAAGGCTTCGCTAGGCGAAGGATTACTCGCCTAGCGAACTTTTAGAAACTTGTCTAGGGAGAGTTCACAGGACACAGGCACTTAAGGTGGCATTTTTGGGGTTCGCTAGGCGAACCACTTTGTTCGCCTAGCGAACATGACAACTCAACAACCCTTCTATAAGTAGCATGGGCTACTTTTTGTAAAAATATCTATTATTTTTTATTTGCATTAGAGAGGATTTTTCTGACCTAAAAACTCATTCCTTCATTTCTCATCATCTCTTAGCAATATTTCACCAAAAGAAGGTGGATTCCCATTCATTCTCGACTATTCGACTCGGATGTTGATCAACTTTCTTCTGAAACTTGTTGCTCAAGCTATCATGGAAATGAGTGGCTAAATCCCTCTCTTGTTAAGGTTAGGAGTAGTTAGTTCAAATTTTATGTATTCTTATTAATGTCTTGCATGTGAACATTGTTATGATCAATGTAGATGAAGTTATTTGCTACTAATTGTACATTTGTGATTTGGATTGCTTTAGACATGAACTTTCCAAGTCTTGACCTAACTTCTTCATCTATCAACTATACAAATGCTAGACATAGATTTGAAAGTTGATATTCGCGTTGTATCGATCTTAATGATTATTGTTTCAATTGTTATTTAGAGAGATCATTTAACGGTCGAAACAATAACATTCACGAAATCGCTTTAGAGATGAACGTTTTTGCAAGGATACACAATTATGTTGGTTAGAACTTCGTTCACATATTTGATTGGTTGGATACGTTTAGGACGGACTAACGAACCCTAATCTTGACATGCTTTTATCAAACTTAGACCGACTTTTATTCCGTTTTATTTGTTGCAAACTTTTATTACGAAATTGAAACCATTCTAAAAACCCTCATTTTCTTAAATCATTAAACCGTTGAACGAAAAACATCTATATTCTTTTCAATCCCTGTGGATACGATAAAACACTACCACAAAATACTTTCTAACAATACAACAATCCCAACACAATGAAAAATACAAAAAAAGAAGAAGGAAAAAGACCAAATTTCTCACGGCTTGTCATCTTCGTTTGAACTTCTCACGGTTTGTCATCTCCGATTGAAGTATGATTTGCCTCAGAATCATCTAGATGCATCATCCATGTGTTGTTTCTAAACTAAAACTACAAAATAACATTTTTTTGATGAAGTCGGGGTTTAAAACTCCCAACAACATACCTTAAAAAATGCTGAAAAGTGACTTAAATAGGCAAAAGTGGGTTCCCGTGTTCACTGAGCGAACTTTGATTTGCACTGTCAACATACCAAACCTAGCTGTCGCTACTGCGAAAATCGGCGCCGGCTATGACAGAAGAGTCGCCACCGTGCGTTATTTATCCCAAAGGAGGGAAAGGAAATGCTCAGAGTAAACCTAACGCAAAACGGGAAAGGAATGGTTGTCGCAACCAAATTCCTGGATTTGGGAGTCGATTACGCAAGGGGAAGGTATTAGCACCCCTCACGTCCGCCGTACTCGACGGGATCCACGCTTGTTTTCTAGTACGGATTGTTATTCTATCTACTCTAAAGGTCTGGGTTAAAAAGAAAAGAAAATGACTTGGCAAAGTATCACACTTTATGCCTACGTATTCCCGTCCGGAACGAGAAATCAGAGTCAACGTAGTTCACCTACCTACGGGGAAGGAGGGGAAGGTTGCTCGCTAGGATACGACATCCTATGCTTACGTACTTTCATACAGCATGAAAGATCAGAGCAAACATAGTTCGGGCTACGGAAGACACAAGCTTGTCTGACTGTTTTTTATTACCTTCAGAAAGGGTTTTTCTTGATTAAGAGTCCAAGCGGACAAAATGACACTTTGATGTTTGTTTTGAATCTTTTACGAAAGAAGTGTTTTTTG